AATTAATTTAATTTAATTTAATAAATAAATAAACAAATAGTTTTTAAATATATATATATATATATAAGTAAATAAATAGAACAACAAGTATACTTGAGTTACAGAATTATTGAATTCTGACAAGATAATAGAAGTGAAGAAACTTGCATTTGGACCATATTAATATGATATGATTAATAAACCTATAATTTTTGATTTTATTTTTACAAAATCATTTTCAAAAAGGTAAAAAATGCAGTATTTTTGAATATTATTGAAGTATTGACCATCATTTTTTATAGAAAAATATCATAAACAATAATAAGTAAATGACTTGGTATTAGTAGAAAGTAGATTGAAGATTAACGAATTAAGCATTTTTCGCTTGGAATAATAAAATATTCAATATTGATAATTTATAAAGTTTAATTGTGGTGCGCTATCTAGTGGTTTTTTGTACCTTAATATTTGTTTTGTTTTTTTAATATCTAAGCACGGCTATAGGTGAATTGCGGCCCGACATGTCATTTACGTGTTGAAGACCGGTGAATTGCGGCCCGGTCATATTTAACCACTAAGTTAATTGCGGCCCGGTCATATTTAACCACTAAGTTAATTGCGGCCCGGGAAATTTATTTATTTTCAATTTTGTGCCGGCAGTATCGGCAGTATCTTATCTAAAGTAGATACCATAACGTCAATAGTTCAAACGAAAAATATTACAGTGTTAGTCTGTTCACCACTTAGTATCTATATCTACGAAAACTAAAAATTCTGTTTGAGTGTGTTATACAGTTTATTATAAGTGCGTTATGGAGTTTGTAAATAGTGAAAAATCAAAACCAATTATTCTCTACGAAGGCTACAAATTTCGTTTCCACAAAACACTAAAAAACAATAGAAGCAATGGAATAAAAACGAAGAAAATATGTGAAAAAGAAGCATTTATAAGACAACAGATGACAAAGCTAGCACAAAAAGAAATAGAGCAGTTTGATTTCGTCAAATCATTAAGTTTTAAGTTTTTGCCCAACCAATAAATATATATATATATATTTTTACATATTTTACATAAATATTAAAATTCATTTTATCATAAATTACCATACATTTTGCCATTTTTACATAAATAAAAAAAAAACAAATTTTTGGGAGACGACTCAGCCAACCTCCTCGTGGTGTCTTCTTGGTAACGCTGGTAGGCTGATATGAAGTGATAAATAAAATGTAAAATGTGGCCGCAACTCGTACGTCTGTTTTATAAACACGGGCCGCAACTCGCACGCCTGTTTCATAAACACGGGCCGCAATTCGTACGTTATTTAGGGATCGGGCCGCAACTCACCAACACCGCTAAGCACACAAGCAGGTTAGTCAATATCAATAGTTATTGTTTTTAAAGTACACTAATTAAAAAATACTCGAATACGCATCTACAATATGATGTGAATACACTGAATACACCTATGTCAGTTCACTTAAAATGTTAGGATTTAATAAAATTAACTGTAGCCATTGGGGTAGCTGCTTTTAATACATATATAGAGTGTATAAACGCTGAGACCACTCAATGTTTTTGCGTAAAGAGCTAAATTTGAATTCTGATTTTTTGTTGGTTTTTATAATATAAAAATGTGTATTTTTACGAGTTTTTAATTTTTTTAAATTAAATAGACACGCGCATGCGCAGTATAACTTTTTTTCTTAAAAGGCAACCACCTACTTTAAACACTAATTTTTCGCATATTTTTTTTTTAATGAATTTTGATTGTAACTCAAAAAATAATTATTCTAGAATAGTTAATGCTTGATATTTTCACTCTTATTTATTGAAGTGATATTTACACGTTATTATAATTTTATCTACTGCATAATTTTCACTTTAATTTGGATATGTATTTTAACTTATAGTAGAAAAAACCTAAATAATCAGGCATGTTGTTTATTTCGTGACATTTAATAGATCTAATGGATTTAATAATTATTTCAATAATAACGGATTTAATGAAATTTAATTGGAATTTATCAATTATTAACAATAAGTTTAATTTTTATTCAAGTTACAAGTTTATTTATTTATTGATTAATTTAACGTATAAATTGTTCAAATTGTTGTCCTCCATGAACAAAACATGATTCAGGGCGTCGCATGAATTCTTTATTTGTTGCAGTAGTAATTTCTTCATCAGTCAGTTGATTACAATGATATTTATGATATTTTAAATTGGAATAGAAACGTAATCTAATACTTTTCGTATTTTATCAAGCACTATAGAACTAAACATTAGGCACCTCCTTTAAAGTAAACGTTTATACGTTTAAGTTAGTTTCGTTGTTTTTGGTAATTATTTTAGATTAAGAACATCCTGCCCATAGTTTTATTCATAACGTAGAAAGGAATCTTAGAATATAATCTTAACTGCTGCAATAAACAAAGAATTTATGCGGCGCGCTGAATCATGTTTTGTTCATGGAGGACAACAATTTGAACAATTTATACGTTAAATTAATCAATAAATAAATAAACTTGTAACTTGAATAAAAATTAAACTTATTGTTAATAATTGATAAATTCCAATTAAATTTCATTAAATCCGTTATTATTGAAATAATTATTAAATCCATTAGATCTATTAAATGTCACGAAATAAACAACATGCCTGATTATTTAGGTTTTTTCTACTATAAGTTAAAATACATATCCAAATTAAAGTGAAAATTATGTAGTAGATAAAATTATAATATCACATTAATAAATAAGATTGAAAATATCAAGCCTTAACAATTCTAGAATAATTATTTTCAGAGTTACAATCGAAAAAATTTAAAATTGTGCGCATTTTACAGTTTTTTGGTTAAATTGTTGTAACTTGGTCAATTTTGGACTTAGAAAGTTGGTTTAGCTACCAAAATTCATTGAAAAAATAGGCGAAAAATAAATAGTGATTAAAATAGGTGGTTACTATTTAAGAAAAAAAGTTGTGCTGCGCATGTGCGTGTCTATTTAAGTTAAAAAAATTAAAAACTCTAATACACATTTTTATATCATAAAAACTAACAAAAAATCAGACTTCAAATTTCAGGTCTCTACGCAAAGATATTGAGTGTTCTCAGTTAGCGTTTACACACTGTATGTCCCCACCAGTGAAATTGTCCTCATGAATGCTTACTGTAAATTTATTTTTTAAGATTGTATGTTTTGAAAAATTAAGTTAATGAAATATTAAATAGCAATACTATGAACTGCGAAAATAATACTATAACAAAAAATGTATGGAATAAAAGCTAATAATTCCGAACAATGTTTATATTTTGACTACGATCTTAGAAGGACCTTATATTGTAACCGTGATTATTATGATAGCTTATTGCTAAATGGATCGAGAAATTTTCATTAATAAGTAAAAAGTTGGCGTAAGATGTAGAACTTGCAAAAATAACATAAAATATAATAATATGATCGAAGAGGAGCCGCGGTAATTATAAAAAATAGTTTGAACGACTTTATATTCCTAGGATATGAAATTGTGGGTAGGTATTTATAGATTTGTATAGATTACGACAAATGAAACATTTGTCTTGCTATATGTTTACAACCAAAGTTCAAAAATGATTTCTATTAAATTCCAAATATATTACATAAAGTCAATTTTAGGGTTGATTTAATTGTTAAAAATTTAAAATAATCTAATTTATCTGATCCACACTAAGACAACGGCCTGTCAGCCACGCTAATATAATATTTAATGTTGTTAAATGTGTTATGCGTATCTTGTGAAAATAAAAATAAATAAGAGATTGGGAGTAGTATATGTCTGCGGCATCTGCTTTCTTAATCACTCAATTCCTGTGGAGTGATATTAATTACATATTTAATATTATATGGTTTATAACTTATAGGTACTTTACCAATACTATGAAACATATAGACTATATTTTAGTCATCGTCTGTACATAAATTGTACTTGTTCTAATAATTCTATATCATAGAGTTCTAAATTATAGCACACACAGCGTTTACAAGAAAGTTAAAATTAAATAGTCAATTTTTATTTTATTACATTATCATTATCAATTTATCTATATACTTGTTCTATTAATTTTTGTACACAAGTTGAATAGGTATAAGATTAAAATTTACAATATTCTTATTTATTATTATCTTAAATGTCGAGATGTCGCATATCACAAATTGCATTGGGAAGAAATAAAATGGCTGAGTCGGTTATGTTTTAAACGAACGATATCGAAAAGTAAACATTTCTATAATAGCAATAAATACGTCGTATGACATAATGATGAGTAATCCAAATGGAGTCATCAGAATTTTTGTAAAAAAACTAGACGATACACCGAAGGTCGAGGTAGAAAATTAAGGGCTCAGACTTCAGTTATATTTTTAAAGTGATAGCAATCGACTTCGGACAACTTTGTGATAATTTGTTGGAAAGCAGTGTCAATGATTAAGTACAACACATATTTGTGTCAATACGTACATCATTCATTAATTCAATAAATCATTCTAATTATAAATATATTGTGCTATCAATAATATCACGTCAACAATGTTATGAACACGGTCTTAGAAGATCTATCTTCTAAGACCGTGGTCATGAATGATAATTTATTGTTATTGTTACTGATTATCAATTGGCAATATTGTCACAAAAATGAAATAAAAATAATATTTATTAGATGTTGTTTAACAAATATATAATTTATCTAATTATTAGTGAAGACGGTTAAATTAATTCTTTGAAAATTGTGAAAACATTGTTAAACATTATAAAACCACTTGTCAGGGCACAGAATGGAACCCTTCGACCAAATAAACTAATAGTTTAGTTTAATTAGTTTATATGGTCGAAGATGGAACCAATAAGCACAGTGCAATGCATACAAACAAAAAAAAAACCTTACATTTTGGAACAATATGGTTTATGGTACAATGCACGGGTCTTCTAAGACCGCGATATAATGTGACTTTATGCAAAATGTAATAGATAACGATTTAGTGATAACACAGAATAATTGTTGATGTGCTTTATTGTGTTGATTGTAAATTATTGATTATCATGATAATATGAACATTTAAAATAATTATTTATATAACACCTAACGAACCAGGATATTATACACTTAAATACAATTGTTTATGTCAGCTTATGATATCATGTAACGAACTACTTTTGTATGGATATTAGATGTGTACATTTGTTGTATGTTAAGTGTAGGGGTTTCTGATTGTTGACTAAAATTAACACTTATTGGTACAGTTATTTGGCATTTTTAAATCACAATGGCTAATCCTAAAGCTTTTCTGCACGAATGGTGTGCAAAAAACAGCTTAGAACCACAATTTGAAATTAAACAAGCAGGTAAATCATTTCAAAGTAATTCAGGTTTATTTTAATATATATTATTTTCTATAAATCAACTATTTCCTTTCAGTATTAACGAGATAATTAAAAATTAACTAATACTTATTAGTGCTAATATCTTAATTAAGCATATTAAGAATTTAAAAAGTAAATTAAAATTTTCTTTGGTATTCTCAAAAATGTCATGCTTTTTGTTTCCAGGTACGAAGTTCAGTTTACGTTTTATATGCGAAGTTTCTGTAACAGGACACAACTATGTCGGTGTAGGGAATTCAACCAATAAAAAAGATGCCCAAGGTAATGCATCTAAAGATTTTCTTTCGTATTTGATACGTCAAGGATTTGTGACTGCTGATTCATTACCATCTGTATGTTCAGAAATTATATCTGTTGCTAGACAATTTTTATTATAATATGAATTTTATTAGAGTTTTATAAGTGGTCCTGTTGTAAATGATAATTCAGTTAAAGCACCTCAACGATTTATGAATAATGTGCCACAAAAATCAGTGTATCAACAAGGCCAAACTCCAAATACTCTAGGTGAAGCATATCGACCAATTGGGAGGACAGATTTCCAGTTTAAAGACTTTTTAAATGATGAAAGCAAAGTAGAAGAGGTATAAAAGTTTAAAATACCCATTGTTAAATATATTTTTTTTACTTGGCTACTTAATAAGTATGTAAATTTATTATAATTAAATATTTTAGGCTGAAAATTTAGATGTAAATGCTGCTATTCATGGAAATTGGACTATTGATAATGCTAAATCTCGTTTAAATCAATTTATACAGTCCAATAGATTAAAAAATATTGATTATAAATATAGTTTCATGGGAAAGTAAGTTATTATTCGTCTATAGAATTTTAAATTAACACCTATATTATGTATAATATTTTCTGTGAGTTATCACAACATAATTTTTAATGAGTATAGATTATTTTATTTTAAATAAATAAACCAAATTTTTTTACTATTTTTTAGGAGTTTTGTTGCAGAAATGTCAATATTTGTACATAAACTCAATAGAAGTAAATTATTTTATTCATAATATTAGTTTTATTTTTTTATTCATTATAATATTATTTTTGATTTAGATGTAACTGCTCGTGAAAGTGGTTCAAACAAACAGTCAGCATCAAAAAGTTGTGCACTTTCCTTGATACGTCAACTTTACCATTTAGGTGTTGTTGAAGCATTTTCAGGATCTTTGAAAAAAACTATTTTGAACATAATTGAACCATATGAAGTTAATGTAGACCCTTTATTATTAAATAAAGTGTATGATATATTACAAGAATTAAATATTCAACCTGTGATTCAAGTAAATAACATTTTAAGCAAAAAATAAAACCTTATATATTTTATGTTTATTTTTAAGAATGATACTACTGTCGATACCAAAGCAACAATATCATTAATTTCTAATCAAGTTATTGCTGAATTTTCTGAATCAAAATGTTTAAGGTCAGTAGGAGTGATTCCATGGTCACCACCTCAACCAAATTGGAACCCTTGGTTGGCAATAAATATTGATGAAGGTCCTTTGGCTACTGTAAGTTTCTAATGGTTTAATTCTAAAATATAGTTTTAATTTTTAGAATTTAATGTTTTTTAAACAAATAAATTCAATTATTTTATTTCATTAGTATAAAAATGTAATTCAAGTATTATTTAATTATTAACCATAAATAATTATATTAAAAAAGTATTTTAAAAGTTAAGATACAAATTATATTGAGAATAACAAAGTTTCCATAGATAAAATTATCTTAAAACTTAACCTTAACCAACCTTAAAACCATAAAATTGAAACTAATAAATCAAGCATAAAAATCTATTTTGGCTTTTATATTTTAATAATTCTGTCTATTAAAAGTTATTATTTTTTAATAGTAATTTATTTTTAAAGAATATTACTTATCTTTTTTTATTGTAAAATATAATAACACTAAAAATGTTACTAAATTCTGTATTTTTAAAAATTATACAGGCTACTTTAGATCAATTAAGTGAAGAATTATCAAAAGATTATGATGAGAAATTAAATTCATCAGAAGATTTAGTGCAAAGTTTTGAAATGCGCAGTAAACTTCCTGTATTTGCTAAAAAAGCTGAAATTTTAGAAGTAATAAAAAAAAACTCTATTGTAATTATTCAAGGAAGTACTGGTTGTGGTAAAACTACTCAGGTTAGTTATAATACTCATTAAATCTAAAAAAAAATTATTCGATTCATGTTAGCAACAAATATACATTTACAAAAAAGTATTTATTTTATATTGTATAATATTTTAGGTTTGTCAGTTTATACTTGATGAGTACTTGAGTAATATTCAAGGGGCATATTGCAATATAATTTGTACTCAACCAAGAAAAATATCAGCTCTTTCTGTTGCTGATAGGGTAGCTTTTGAAAGAAAAGAAGATGTAGGACTAAGTGTTGGATATAGCGTTCGATTTAATAGCATATTTCCTCGACCATATGGAGCAATTTTGTTCTGTACAGTTGGTAAATATTTTTATATTATAGTTCTTTGTGTTTAAACTTTCAATAAATTAAAATAAATATTCAGGTGTATTATTGCGAAAATTGGAAAATGGTATGCGTGGTGTATCACATGTAATTGTTGATGAAATACATGAACGTGATGTAAATAGTGACTTCCTTATGGTTGTGCTCAAAGATATGGTTTACAACTATCCTGACCTAAGGGTAATTTTTATGTCTGCTACAATTAATACTAACATGTTCTCTAAATATTTCAACTGTTGTCCAGTAATTGATGTTGAAGGAAAATGTTATGCAGTTAAGGGTAAACCAGTTCATATGAGTATATGATGATTTAAATGATAACTTTTTATTTATTTTTTTTTGCAGAATATTTTCTTGAAGATATTGTTGATATTTTAAATTATCAGCCAGTTCCAGAAATTAAAAAATCTAAGAATAAAGATAAAGATGAAGAATCAGTCATTTTAGGAATGGATCAAGAAGAAAATTGTAATTTAATTGTTTCTGATGATTATTCTCCTGATGTCAAAGCAAAAGTGGCTATGATTAGTGAAAAAGATGTTGATTTTGAAATTATTGAAGTATTTTATTTTGTTATGCATTTGTATTTTTTAAAAAAAATATTTAATTAATTTTAAATTTACATTTAAGGCATTATTAAAACACATTGAAGTAGAAATGAATATTCCTGGTGCGGTTCTAATATTTTTACCTGGTTGGAATTTAATTTTTGCACTACAAAAATATTTAACTGAGAAACAATTTTTTGGTTTGTAAAATATTTTTTTTAAGTGTTCAATATTTAATGTACACATTTTTTTAGCATCTTCAAATTTTTGTATATTGCCACTTCATTCACAGCTTCCTTGTGCTGATCAGCGGAAAGTTTTTGAGCCTGTTCCTCCAGGAGTACGAAAGGTAATTAATTAAATTTAAAAATAAATTATAAAATTAAAATCATATATATTATTTAAAAATAAAATTGTTTTAAGGTAATTACTTTTAAAATTAAAACTAAATATTATTAAATATATGAATAATTTATTAAATAATACTAAATATTCTTAATAATTTTAATAAAAATTAAATATAAGATAAAAAATAACAGTTTTTGTCTGAATTATTATTATATGTACAAGTATTTAGGAAAAAATATGATTTAAAAAATCATCAGGTACTAAAAACACTAAATATACGAATAAATTCGAAATTGTTTACTTATTTTCATTAAGAACATTTATTAAAATAAAATGTGTTATTATTTGTTTTTATATATCTAAACTTTCATGTACAATGTTTATTTTTTTTAATTAAATTTGAATATATTTTTAAGTAATTGAATAAGAATAGTTAGAATAGTGTTTCTAAAGCGTTAAGAAAATAATTTTCTTTTAATCCTGATAATAAATATTTTTTTTTTTTTTTCATTCATTTGATTAACTTCAAAGTTAATTTATAGTATTTTGAATATTATAAGTGTTAATATATTTGTTCTAGGTAATCTTGTCTACAAATATAGCGGAAACATCTATTACTATCAATGATGTAGTTTTTGTAATTAATTATGGCAAAGCTAAGATTAAATTATTTACGACACATAACAATATGACTCATTATGCTACAGTTTGGGCATCTAAGACTAATATGCTACAAAGAAAAGGTCGAGCTGGTCGTGTTAAAGAAGGTTTTTGTTTTCACTTATGCACAAAGGTAATCAAATATCTTATTAATACTTGTTTAGAAAAAAGTTTCAATTTAATTTTACAAAATAATAATAATTTATATTATTTATGAAAATAAATGTAATTAGATAAATGAAAGTATTTATATGTTTAAACTTATTAACTAATTATTTTAATTTTAATTCAAACATTAAATATTACAATATTATTGAGTTTTCTCATCTTAGAGAACTCTACAGTTTTGATTTGGAATTGCACAAATTTTTTATTTAATTTTCAAATATAAATTTTTCCTTTAACATATTTATTTTTTAAACACCAAATTTTAAAGGCACGTTATGATAAAATGGATGATCACATAACACCCGAAATTTTCCGTACACCTTTACATGAAATTGCCTTATCTATTAAATTATTACGACTTGGAGATATTGGACAATTTCTTAGTAAGGCTATTGAACCACCTCCTATTGATGCTGTAATTGAAGCTCAAGTGATGCTTAAAGGTAAATTGCTGTTACTCTGATATTCAAATAAGTAGAAAATAAAATCATTTTTTCTTATACACAAACTAAATTAATCAAATAAACAAGTATTGTTGTTTTATTGATTAGTTGTGTTTGTAAATGACCATTAAAATTTTTAAAGTTTTACATTAAGTTAAATAATGTAATTCTTTATATTGGTTTACGAATTCAACCAATGATATTGAAAAACTGTATTTTATTTGAATGTCATAGTAAGCAATAATTTAATTTATTTAAAAATATTACAACTAATAAAAATGTTGACTAAATATTAAATTGTGAACCAAATTGTAGAGTAGTTATTTACAGGTTTAAATTATTGTATATATCTGTTTTTAAAATTATTTATTTATTAGTGTTCTTATTGTATGCAGTCTACTGTCTTATCATTTATGTATCTACGGATAGTAAATTATTTTTGGCATGAATGTCTTATTTTGTAATAATTAATATAATAACCAGAATAACTAAATTCAAATAAATCAATATAATAATTAATAATTAATATTCTAATTGAAAAGCATAGTATACCACACATTGGCATATTGAACTAATTATTAGTGAGAAGTAAATATGTATGTAAGGTACCCCTTCCCTCCATTGTTGTTTTATATAATCTACCTTCTTCCTTTTTCTTCTTCTTCTGGCACTTAATACTCTCTAAGAGTCTTGGCCGCCATCACAATATCCTTCCATTTATATCGATCCTGAACTAATTCTCTCCATTCCTGTACTCCCAACCTTTCAAGGTGTTGTGAACTGTTTGGTTATGTCTATAGACTCGGATATTGCGACAGGTTTAGTTGATTCCGCCGATCACAAGTCACGTTTTGAGTTTTGCACTTAAGGAATTCTACGAGGAAGTTATTGATTCACACAATTATTATATTAACTAATACATTATTATTATTGAGTCGTTATTTAAAATATTAATATGCTTACAAGAAATTAATACACTGTTACTTAGCTGTTACGCGACTGACTCTTTGATAATGGGTGGTCAGGCATGTATGTATAAAATGGACAAAATGCATAGTCAATATTTATCCCCATTTACATACTAAGAATACTAATGATAATAATAATCATAATAATAATAATAATAATAATAATATAATATTTTATAATGTAATATGGTGTACATAACAAAGGTCCACACAACATCTATCCACTTTTTTCTAGGTCTCCCTCAAGAACTCTTTTCCATTGGTTTCCATTGTAGAACTGTTCTACCTATATCATCCTCACTTCTCCGCATCGCGTATTATATTATTGCATTTATTATACATATATCAATGTACATCCCCAACATTTGAAATGAGGTGACCATAGAACATTTTGTGTATGACATTCATTGTGCCAATGAGTTTACCTCACTTAACAGTGTGATTTATTTTTCTCTGGATGTGGTAATATGTTCAATGTTCTATTTTTTTTATTGATATTTTAACAAGAATATTATAATAGCTCTACATTTATTTGGACATATCATTGACAATCAGTCATATACATAGACAAAGCACGCCTTACGATATTATATTTGAAGGTCAGATTTAAGTATAAAATTAAGTATATGCATAATTATATTTATATTATTACTTAATAGAGTGCTGATGAAGAAAAAGTTGATACTGAAAGAAGAAAATAAAAACATTAATTGATTTCTTTGAGGAAAGAGAGATGAACAATTTAGGAGCAAATTTTGGAAATCGCAGTAATCCTCACTGCAGTTGGATAGGGGGCAATAATAGCTACTGTTGGGTACCAATTTAAATGAATGATGTGGTAGTAAGTTGTGATCATTGTGAAATCTGGTATATTTAATTATGACACCACGACTAATTATCAGTACTGAAACCATGGCTGAATGAGGATACTTTTAAATATTGATCTAAACATAAGAGTTAGTTTTCCTATTTTATCTTCCATAGCTCCTGTATGTATTTTAGGTGTAAGATGACTTAATCGATAAATTGACGGTGGAGTCAGGTAATGAGTGTGCATGGCCATTTATGCCTATAAACCCATAAGAAAGAGATTATTATAGGTTATATTAATTAGCTGATTCTGAGGAATTGTAGTAATATAATTTTCTATTTAAAAATATAAACAGCACTTGTAACAAAATATTAATAAAATCTAAAATATCCTGGTTTATACCTATTCATTTTTGGCTCTATTAATGGACCTACTCTGTAAATAGAATATATAATAAATGTTGTTAGAAACTAAAAATTAAACTAGTTATTAGATTCTGAATAGATTAAAAATAATTTTTGATTTTTAAAATTGTATTTATTTGAAAATTGTGTTAACATATTTTTTAATATTCATAATTGTGTGTATATAAAAATCGTAGAAATGAAATGTCTTGATCAAAATGAAGAGTTGACTCCTCTTGGTAAAATCTTAGCAAAATTACCAATCGAACCACAGATTGGCCGCATGATGGTACTGGGGAACATTTTAATGCTTGGTGACGCTCTTGCTGTAATAGCTGCTATCTGTTCAAATATGACGGATATATTTGTATTTGGTAAGTTTATGAAGTATTTAGTTATTTTTATATACTAACAAACAATATTATTTTATTTGTTTGTAGATTATAGAATGACACCAGCACAGCGTGCATTATCTGGGAATCGTTGCTCAGATCATTTAACTGTACTAAATGCTTTTCATCAGTGGGAATCTTTGTTTCGTCGTAATATTGATACAACAGATTATTGTGAACGTAAAATGTTATCTCAGCCATCACTGACTACCACAGCTGATGTTACGGTATATCAAATAATTTATTTTTCATAGGAATTTGGTAATTTAAATATTTTAATTTTATTGGTGTATTAGGAACAATTAAAAGATTTATTTATCAAAATTGGATTTCCTGAGGAATGTTTTGAAAAGCAAACTTTTGATTTTGGAAAATCTGGAATATATGATGAGCCAATGTTGGACGTTTTATCTGCAATTTTAACTATAGGATTTTATCCTAATGTATGCTATCATAAGGAAAAACGTAAGGTAATTCAAATTTATTATTTTGACCAAATTTTTTTTTTCTTGCCCATATAATTTATAACCCAAGACATTTGTTTTTTGATTTTTTTAAAATGTTTGTAGAAATTAAGTTTATAAATTTAAACCAGTGTATTTTATGTCTTTGTATTATTTTCATTACGTTTTCATTTTCTCAATTTTATTTTAAGCTTAAAGTTTTTGTTTCACTGTATGCAAAATAAATATATCTTTAGTTAATTATTATTTATACATATATGATCAAAAAATTCATTGTTCTTGACACTTATTGTCTGCAATATATTTTATTAAATATCTTTAAAAATGTATGTTGTGTATATATTTAGGTGTACACAACAGAAGGAAAAGCTGCCCTTATCCATAAGACATCTGTTAATTGTAATAATGTTGCAGCTGGTTCTTTTCCATCTCCATTCTTTGTATTCGCAGAAAAAGTAAGTTGTGGTTTATAGAATAATTTATTATTACTATTTCTTTATCAAGTTAAATCATTCAATGAATTATGGTTTTTCAAATAAATATCCTGATTAAATATTTTTAGGTTGTGCTAAAAAGTAAAAACATTATTTCTATTAAGATTATTGTATTATTAATTTAATAGTCATTATATTTTGGATATTAATATCATTTTTGTGCACATAAAGTTATGTATAATTTATAATTTTGTAAATTATCTTTTATTCATTCAGGTTCGTACAAGAGCTGTGGCTTGTAAACAAATGACTATGATAACACCAATTCATCTTCTATTATTTGGTGCCCGTAAAATTGAATATACTAAAGGTTTTGTTCAATTAGATAATTGGTATGTAATATTATACAATTTTAATAAATTAAATAAATAATAAATTATTTGGGCCAATCACAAAAATATTTTTCAAAGTTAATTAATTGATTTCAACTTGTAAATATTTTATATCATTTAATTGAAATGCAGTACTAAAATTATAGTTAAATCTTAAAGTGATATAAATTTATATTTATTTCTTATAAATTAAAGATAAAATTCAACATTTAAAAATGTTTAATGTAGCAATCTAATGACTGTTTGCAGGATAAATTTAAAAATAGATGTTAAAACAGCTTCTGCTATTGTAGCACTAAGACCAGCTATTGAAAGTTTAATTATCAATGCATCTAAAAATCCTGAATCAATATCAATGTTAACTGAAACTGATAATAAGCTTATAAATGTTTTGAAAGAATTGTGCAATTTTAACTCTGGAAGATACAATCTTTCACCTATATTATTTGATCAAGGGTAAGTTATATTATTAGGTTAGGAAATAGGGCAATTTTATTTGTTCAAATAAGAATATAATTTATTTTATGATTTTAGAAGTACATCTTACAAAAGAAAGTTAAATGCATCATTTAATGAAAGTAGTGATAGTTCACAACCTACACCAAAATTGAATCACTATTCTAGTTATGGTAATTTTCATAGACAAAATAGTGGTTTTAGTAGAGGAAACTATAATCAAGGAAGAGGTTATCACAGAAATTCATCATTTGGTAGTGGATTTAACCAAAGAGGCAGTAGTCATATTGGAAGAGGTATATATATTTTATGATGCACTTTATTATACTGGATCATTTATTTGATTTTTTTGTTATATTATATGTTATAAATCACCTAAAAGTCATAAAATAGAAAATTAAAATTGGTATATTTAAAATTACATTTATCTCAAGTTCACTTATGATTCTGTGAAATGGCATTTTATTGATTCTGCATTTATGGAAGTCATTACTGTACAATGCTTTTGTTGAATATTTATATATATATATATATATATTTTTATGAAATGAATACTAAAATAGTTTAATATATACATTTTTTAAGGATCAGGTTTCAGAGGAAATAACAGTAATGTTGGCAATAGTGGCTTTTACAGAGGTACCAGAGGATCTAACAGAGGTTATAGTAGCTTTAACAGAGGATTCTAAAGAAAAACATAATATAAAAAATGCCATTTTTGTATTCTATGAAAATAAAGTAAATAATTAACAAGTTCTTGTTCTTTATTTAGAATCAACAATTTATCACATAAAAAACTATTTTAATTTATTATTTAATTTATTGGCTGCATCCGAATTGGGTTCCAAATTTGAAATTACTACACTAGTCTGGTCTCAAATTATTTTACGTATTACACTAGTTGGTTTAAATATTTATACCTAATATAATTCTGGACCCAACTAGTATAGAACCTATAAAAATCCAGGACCCAACTTGAATGCACCAAATTTATTTATTCAATATTATTTAATATTATTATAATTAAAATTATATCACTGTTTGTCTGAATTTTAGTTGCTACTTCCCAATGCCTTTTTTTGTTGCTGTTGATACCTGAAATGTCAATACAAAGTTTGTAGTTTTTAAAATGACAACAATAATAATGTCCTCTCAACTAATTCTATTAAAAGAATTAAAACATAACATACAAGTTGTTATTAAAAAGTAATCTACATATAACATCTGTAATGTATATTGTATATTATTTAGTTGTATAATATTTTAAATTTGAAACATTGTATAAGATTTGAACTAAAAAATAATTATTAATAATTACATTCAATAATACTTATATTGATTTTTTTTCTTAGTAACCTGTTACTTTTTAGTTTTCTATAAATAACTATTTGAACAATATTTCATAGAATTAATATTTAAATTAAATGAAAAGTAAACAATTTATTTAGTTATTTATATATCAACCATTTCAAATTAAAATGGCCAATTACATTATTAGTTAACTTAAGATTTTATTCGGGTTACTGGAAATGTCTGTTCTTCAAAATTGTATCAAAGAGTATAGTAATGTTCTTAATTTTAAAAGTAAGAATAAAATACACGTCTAAATTATTTTTTATAAAGCTCTTGGTCTCCTAATTCAATATATTAGAATTAATATATCAGAAGATATTAGGAAAACATATGAATATACACTAAAAAAGATTAGGAAAATGTAGGTGGCTTTGAATATTTAATTTATACTAGTACTAGTGCTCAAAAATGTATAATATATACAGAGTAGAAAATTATTTTTAAAAGTTGTAAACTTATTTGGTTAGTTGTGTGTTAAAAAAAAAATAACTTTTTCCCATAAAATGTAACTCAATCATAATCTCAGAAAATATTCATACATTTTTTACTGTTACTAATTAATACTTTAATAATCTATTTTTCATTAAATACTTTGATGAACATTTATAGTTAATAGATTTACATTATTCACTAAAGTATAACTAATGTTAAATAAATTATCATAATATACTTAGTCTACATAAAGCCTACTACTTCATCAAAAGTATACTATTTTATTTTCAAACTTACAAAATAGCTCTCACTAAGTGATATGTATTTGTAGCACCCACAAAAACATTAACACTAAATAAACTCCAGTTTTTTGGTATGATGACTAGTGAATATCTTGACCACACAATTCCAGTAGCAGCTAATGCTGAACATTGAGATATGCTCACTTTTTCTGCTGGCCGGGTAATATCACCAATGCCCGCAATAACTAAGCCCTGCAAATGGAGTAGTACAGTTGTGATTGAAAATACGAACAAATAATTGTATGTGACAGCAACATTACCCATTTAAACGCAGGTGCCCAGAAGAAAATAGTTTTAGGACCTGTAAAAATATAAATGTGCTACTATATTTAATAGACGTATGATTATAATAAAAATAAAATATTAAGTGGTGTACCTGCTGGATGTTCCCAGAGTGGTCTCAGGCCCTTTGGTACAACTTTGTCTGCTACAGAAATCACTGCTTTGTAAACGGCTGATGACATGGTTATGAGGAAGTTAATCACTTAAGTGTTACAAATGTTTAGAGCAAGATTTGATGGTTAGAACATCACTTTAATCGCTAATTAAATTTAAATAATAATTGAACTTCAAGTAACCTTAGAAACAAGGTCAACATCAAAAAAATATTTTCTCAATGATAAGGTCAAAATATTGCTTTTATGTCTATGGTATCAATACGCCTTGAAAAATAAGCGTTTTGCTTTTTTGCGCATTCCTTGCAACGCCATCTATATGTTTACAATGCAAGTAATGTGAACATAAACAGTGGCGTACTTAGACATGAATTTTGTGAATACTATTATAATCCTTCACAACACAAAAGTAGAAATGTTTTTCTGGCTTAGCCAAAGCCTCGAAGGCGTTAAAGGTTCCTCCTAGAAATTTTTTTTTATTAACAGAGGATATCATTGAATTTATCTGCGTTGCATTATCTCTTAACGACAGTGCACAAGTCTGGCAGAAAAGTAAAGCCATGATCTTTAATGCAGTCCTAAGTCGGCAATTAAAGATGTATTAATAAATTACAAGTAAAAAAACATTTGTTTTGTGGAGAAAAACCTAAAAATGCATATGAAGCTCTTGTAACCAATTAATTTTCTCTACTACTTGTAAACTTCAAAACTACAGGTCGTGGTACCCGACCTTATGCTAGGTTAGAAAATAAGGGGTGGTTGGATAGTAAACACATAAGTTAAAATAGTTGTCTAATACAACAAGTGAAAGGTAATTTTCTATAGATTAAAGATATATCTTAGAAATACTAATGGAGAAAACCGTTTGATGAGTAGATTAGTATTGCTAAGTATTCATTGAGAAATTATTTTAACAGCGGATTAAGTTCTTAATGAATTTGCTAATGAATCTAGGAGCTCATTGGACAAGATTAATATAGTTTAGATACGAAAATATAAACATTGAAGCAGGAACTGGAGCCGTACCGAAAGGAACCGGTTTTGGAACAGGAACCCTTTGAATATTGGGAACCGGAACTTCACAGAAAGTCCAATTTAAATTAATTTTTAAAACCGAAACTGATACTTTTTTGTACGGTTAATTTTTAATTTTTGTTTTTTTTATTACTTCATTACTTTTATTTATATATATCTTTAATAGGCATTAAGAACTAAACAAATATGTAGGTGGATCTATTATTATTATTATTATTATTAGGATTTATAACATTAAAAAATAATCATTCAAGTACCTACAGAATTCAGACTTCTGATTATAAATTATTTCTTCGTAACAATTGATGATAATGTAATAGGAATTGCAACAAAAATAATATTATATATTTAAAGTGATCATTATGAAATTCTGTGAAAGTGGAATAAATTTTTCTATGTACTATTTACTGAAACTCTCGAACGCAAGTCTAACTTTAAGCAAATATAGTAGGCGGTAATAAAATAAAAGATTGATAAATATTTTATAGATTTAAATACTAAATAATGATATTCCTTTTACATATGGTAATTCGAAAATGATATAGGTATCACAATCAATGTATAAACTATAAAAAATAAAAAAGGTTATTTGAAACAGAGTCTTTCATTAATGATGAGTACTTAAATCGTTTACTTAATTAGTCATATCCTTAGTCCTAAGCTATTTATAAGATATCTGGTTGAAAATTGGTATTGATCACCATAATTGACGCCAATTAACACTACTAATATTTTATTTTATTTTTTAAGAACCAAAAAACAAACCGAAATCTTCAATTTTATTATTTTAAAAACCGACACCTACATTGTTTTTTAAGAATCGACATCAAAACTGGAATAGTAAAATTCACCAAGGTTCCAGTCTTTACATTGAATAACTGCATTGCTTAACTATGGTAATTAATTTGATATTAATTATTAATTTTCTTATACTAGAACATAATAACGTGTAAATTCATCAACGTGATTGCTTGAATGAAAATATGGCTATGATAAGCCCCCTCGAGTTGCGCCTATGCAGCTGTTAGAGCCCAAAGTGAAATTTCAAATTGAGTAAATTTTATAAAATATATATTTATAGGCTAACATAAATTATATACGTGAGTATTTGAATAAAACTCAATTTAATATAATACATCACTGGTACTGCGAAAAATTCGTGGAAATTGTGTTTATTGTACGTTTATTTTGGGATACAATACAAAAATTAGATAACACTAATTAATGATGTGTTTCCGTGCACGTAGCATCCGCATGTCAAGTTACTGTCGCATTGTCGCGAGCGAGAATGATGGAACGGTCAACAATGTATTTATTATTTAAGTGTACTTCTTGTCAATTCCACCTATTAACTTAAAATTTCTAAAATATTATTTGAATTCGTTATCTTGTTTACATGAGATCGACATTTCTCGTAAATAAAACCACATTTCAAGTTTTTTAAATTTAATTTTGAACAATAAACATTATAAATGTCTTACATTTTAAAATATTCAAATCAAATTTGGGATATTTACGGATCAATTAACTATACATAATAAAAATTTAAAATAGTTTTCAAAAGTTTTATCACATAACTCGGTCAATCGATGATTGACAAAATATGAGTGTTTTTGTTAAAATAATAGATCGTTTGTAATGCCCTAATAATAAGGACCCAATATTTAATTATGAATTTCAAAGAATTTTTTTTCTTATAAAAAATGATAATAATTAATTACATACAAAAAAAAAAAATTATTAAACAAAGTATAATTATGAGAAAAATATATCTATAAAATTGAACACTTTATAACATTAATTAACGATTCGATAAAAAAATACTGAACCTTAAATACACAGGTAATTTTAATACACTTGTAAGCGAACTTTAAAAACAAATGTAATTAACTATTTGAATACACGTGTATTCATAAATTTTACTATTTAAGGGTACGGGCTACACGTATAGTGAATATTTATACATTTATAAATGTACCAAACCGAGAGTCCTATTCTCAATAGAAATCAATTTTTACCATTAAAATATACTATAATATTTTTATTTTTTCTTTATTTGAATTAAACAATCTATACTATATTATGTATAATAAGCTAAAGTGTTAACAATAATAGTTGCTGCCAGAAGACTTCAATGAGAAGCCGCCCACTGACGATACTCTTGTCTAGTGGCGCCAACTTGTATTTATTTAGTGGGACAAAGTATAAAAATTTGTTAATACCACCACCCAAAAATTTAGAGCAAAATAATGATATGTTAAATGATTAAATGATTATATTGTAAACTTAAACATCATAAAGTCGCTCGCTTCGCTTGCAATTTATCACTCCAATCACTTCATCTATTAGGTAGGTACTATTCAGCAGTGGCGTATCCAGGGGGATAGGCGGTTATAACAGACAGCCCGCACTATTAATTCTATTTTAGAATAAGATTGTATTTGTTGTTGAATGTGTCGCCTAGAACAGCACATAATAATAACAATAATATAAATTATGATCGAGTAAAATGCCTCATATTTTATCATAAATAGATAAATATATATTTTATCATACAGACTGAAAATGATTTTTATAAATTAGATAGGTATTAATTATTATTTACCTACTTCATAGTAGTTTTACAAAAAAACAATTAATATCAATTTGAAGCGTATATAAATTTAGGTTTAATTATTTATATATTAAATATGTTATTAAAATTAAAGAAATGTAAAACAAAAAACAATTTATTTCATTTTTTAAACAACTATAATTTAAAAAAAGATGTTTCAAAAATGTTTCACGGGACTATTCGTAATTTAGGTAACTATCTTAAAATGTTTAAAAGGTATATTTGCATGCTGTATAATCACTTTTAAACACTGAGAACCGAGAAGTGTTTAGCTTCATCATATGTGTGAAATAGATATAATTGTAACTGTACGTCTTTATACTTGATATAGTATAAAGACATGATAGGCGAATTGCTCTATCGTATCATAGTATCCTATCATTTACAGATCGATTGTCACTTAATTTATACGTTTCTAAGATTTACTAACTAGAGTGTAAATTTATCCACCCAACCCACCCCACACCAGACACCAACCACCATAGTTAAATGAAGGGGCGAACTGCCCCATAAAAGTACGTATTCAGCGCCACTGCTTCTGTCAGTGTTTAAGGTATAGAATTTACTCTTTATATTTTATATACTAAATAATGTGCTTTTAAAATTAATTTATTGAACGTTTAATTATATAAAATAACCATTACGAAAAAATAAATATATTAACAGAATCTTGGACAGATTCGTTTAAATCATTTAATGTCTTGGTATCTCATTATAGCGGATAATTTTGGTCAAGTAATCTATTTTTTTTTAAAAAAAATTGAGTTACATATTGCGTCAAAATTAATTATTTTTCTTTTTTTTGATATATTTTGAACACATTTTTAATAGGTTTCTAATTGAAAATGACACGGGTGATGGAAGTACTTATTCCATACATTATATAAAGTTAGGGGATATAATATAAGTAGGATATTGAAATATGGCATATGCTCATTCCAATTATTTTTACTTTTTCGGGATTTGTTTTGAATATATAAAATATGGGAATTATAACTTTAGCCCCTAAAAAATGTATAGAAAAGACTGTTAGAGAGATTAATGACTCATGATCGTATTCGCTCGAAAAACTTCTTCCTCGAAAACCTTCTGTTAAATTTAAATACTTTTTAAGAATATACTTGATGAACTTTGATGTACATACGTAAGAGTAAATTGTTGAAGTGAGTATTTACTTATAACACTGAACGCTTTATCGAAAAATTTATATTATATGTACTATATACTATATGCTTGTATAATTGACTAATTGTTACTTATCGCAATTATTAGATAATAAGTGCGACAACTTGTACAATATTTGAAGGGTTACGGGGAAAAACGAGAACAGTCAATATTTCTAGACTGTTTAGTATTGCAGTTTTAAAATATTGGAACTCAAAAAACTAAGAGATAAAGTACAAAATAATTTAAAAAAATTGAATGTGGTGACAGGTGCATCTAACTTTTGATAAAACGAATAAAAAAAATGTAATTAATTTTTAAAAAAAATGTCAATTTGAATTAATTAATATTTTTCTTGTTTTAACTATAATCGATTTTCCCAATAACCTTTAATTTATTTAAGTAACTTCATTTGCATTGGCATGAACCATAAACGATTTTTGTCAATGTATTGAAATATATGACGTTTAGGAAAATTAAATTGTAGTCAATAAAATATCGTTGTCTACGAATTATCTATAAAATATAACATTATGGTACCGCCCATCAGGTGGATTTCTTATCTTAGAGCAATATAAAGCTCATTCATACTGGATGTACGACTACTTCATGGTTGGTTGGCATTTCAATACTAATTGTATATTTTTATAATACTGATTCAAACTATACATTTGCATGCACTATGTTTATTAATTTTTATCGGATTATTGTTGTTGTTTTTTTAATTATTAATTGTGTTAGTTGTACACCTTCATTTCGAAATGAAATGAATACGATTATACATGAATTGAATACCAAACCAAAAATCTTGTGGAAGGTAAGATATTTTAACTCAACTAATTGAATGATTTTTAAATTTTTGTTCTGAATACTGCGATAAATATAATGTGTAATGTGAACCCACGTCATACAATATATTAACATATTAATTATCTATTAGTATTTCAATCGAAGAAAAAAATATATTTTGTTTATTTAATAGAACTTGATTAACAACGATTACGGTGACTACTTGAAATTATACATATTTTATAGGTGATGTAGTCATTAAGTGAATGTATCCTAAGTATATAATTATATTTTTTTTAAATTTAATTTGGAGTTTCCCGCAATGTTAAGTGTGTATAGGTCCGTAAATGATATATTATTAATGCTTATTAGTTATTATTCTTTTATACAATGACTATATAAATGTATAAACATTATACTTTACATTTGTTTAGGCGGGATTAAACTTTTATCCAAGTTTTTTGAAGAATGTTTCTCGTCTCATGGGAGTTCTACCTTTGAATAAACTGCAAACACAAGACATTTTGTTAACAAAAAAATTGTCTGTTGCCCGAGAACCTCTTCCAAATAGTTACGACGTTACATTAAAATGGCCTGAGTGCAAATCGGTTATTTCGATTAGAGATCAATCTAACTGTGGATCTTGTTGGGTATAGTTATACTAGTTATTCATAGTACATAGTTTTAGTTTATTGAATTGTGCAACTTAGTTATTAGTAATAACTTATTATTAATTACCATTATAATAATTGCATCTATTTACTATTATAATTTCGTACAAATTTATAGGCCCTATCAACTGCTTCAGCATTTGGTGATCGTTTATGTATTGCCTCGAACAGAACAATAAATAAGGTCTTATCTGGAGAGTACATAAATTCGTGTTGCAATGGCAAATGTGGAGACGGATGCGATGGTGGTTATCCAGAAAAAGCATGGAAGTTCATACAGAAAAACGGATTATGCACAGGAGGAGAATACGGTTCTAACGAGGTTAGTTTCATGTATATATTGTTTATAGAATTCTAAAAAATCGGAAGAAAATAATAACGTTGTTTTAAAATGTTTGTTATATTTCACGTAAAAAGATGTTGATTTAATGCATTGATTTTATTATATATTTATAAATATTATAAAATAATTAATAAAATATATATTTAATAATTTTATTTATAGTAGTTTTTAAATTAATTAGATTAGTGTTGTAAGTTCCTCTCTATATTTCAATACCAAAAGCTACGGCTGATATTGTTAAGTTTTTTGATGGGTTGCTGAAGGGTACCGCATAATCACCTTCATAATTATCACTGATATCATTGAAAGTACCCCAATGTACAACTATAACGTTCTTCTAACAAATTTTTCTCTATATCCCATACCACCTCGATATATCTAATTATATTCTATCTTATATTTCATTCAGCATATATCTTAATTTTATACTTGCATCTAAATTTACAAAGTGCTTGCCCATATATAAATAAAAAATAGTAATTGACTATATAAAAGTAAAATACAGTATTCGTAAATTATTTTTGTCAAATAATTCTCTAATATTTCTATAAATATAAAATACTTTTCTGATTAGTGAAATCACATAATCGGTTTATAATTTCAATCTGTTCATGTGCAAGTCTAAGTATATTATATCGTCCTTTCTATCAATAGTCTTAAAAGTAAAATTAATAAAATCATTTTATATATTAGATATAGTTTTGGATGATAAATTAATTTAAAATATTTTTTACAATTTCATTTAATACGCTAAAACTATTGTATTTAGTATTTTGAAGATTAAGTTCTAACATTGTTAATATGTTTAATACATTTATTCTATAATCAATGGTTGTCGTAAATTGTCGAATGAAATGTTTTCTATTTTAAAAACTTGGTTAGCTTCATTAAATAAACATGCATAATTATTTTCATGCAATAATATAACCGTTTTGTCAGCAAAATATATTATTTTAGCATCTACCTTCAAATTCAATGAATCATTTATAATTAAAATATAAAAAAAATAGTTCCCTACGGTACACCATGTTTTATATTAAAAGGCTGAGTACACTTATCATTATTTTTAATATTTGTGATTTATCTGTTAGATATGACCTCATAAGGTTATTAAAGAAACTAATATACGTAAACATTTTCATTATACCATAAGTTTATATTTTTTTATATTTTTAATAAAACAAATAAACATGTATAATGTACATTTTATATACAATTAAATAGATATATATTTATAATTTTAATATAATTTTGAGAAATTTCTTGCTTAGAACTCACTTATATTTTACCAATGACAACAGTTGATAAAATAATAATAAAATATAAATATACAAATAAACTAAAATAGGCACATATCACATCGTGCTCCTTTTATTTATGGATGAATTGATGGGAAGATTGTTTTGCATAATAAAAATTTAGTTACAGTTTTTCAATTTTTATGTTTCAGTATTATTTAACAAGTACAAATATATATTATTGTCTTTATTGTATTTTGCACGGCTGTAGATATTTTTTGAAAATTCACAAATTTATATTATTGTGTTGGTACCAACTTGGTACTAATTATATTTGTATTTTATTTGTACTCGTATTACGTTCATCAGCTAACGAGTTTAAATAAATATTATTTAAATAAGTTTATATAAATATTATTTAAACTTATTCAACTATATGAATCGTTCAAATTTGCGATAGTTAAAATACCAAACACTATAAATCAGTGTCGGTTACGGAGATTTTTTCAAAGCATTTATCTTTAATACAATTTGTTCTACATTAAATCAATAATCACACTAAATTTAAAACTCTTATACATTTGATGAATGGTAATAATATTGAAAACAATTATAATCAATACTTATTTGTTCCAAATAACAATACTTTAAACTAATGTTTAATAAAAATTAGTATATTTAGTTTTGTTTTATAATATAATATTTAACATTCCTAAGCTACTTTGTCTATTAGACAACTTTTAATCGAAAAAAATGCTTTACAGTCTTTATCTATATCATTTAATTTAGGGATGTCAGCCATATAGTATAGCTCCTTGCCCAGGAACCAAATACTGCAGTAAGAAGGACAATGAAGCGACGCCACAGTGTTACAAAGATCAGTGTACCAACAATAATTATGAGTTATCATTACAATCAGATCTGTATTACAGTAAATATTGTGTTTAAATAATGTTCAACATATTTTATTTATTTATATTATTAATTAAAACGTAATTATTACAGCAACTAAAGTATATTCTGTTAAACCAAAAATGGAAGTAATTATGAATGAAATAATTAAAAATGGCCCAGTGGTTGCTGCAATGAAAATTTATGAAGATTTCTTATATTATAAAAGCGGTTAGTATTCAAGAGTGGTCTGCTTACGTTGACTTAGTATATCATACACGAGCACATGGTAATTAATTTATTGTAATTTTTAGGAATATATGAGTACACAACAGGTTCTTTACAAGGTGATCACGCTATCAAGTTGTTAGGTTGGGGCGAAGACGATGGAGTACATTATTGGTTATGTGCAAATACCTGGGGTACTACTTGGGGCATGAACGGATTTTTTAAAATACGAAGAGGAATAAATGAATGTGGAATTGAAACTCGAATTACTGGTGGATTACCGAAATTGTAAAATTTAATTTAATTACTAAAGTATTATTATTTATTAATAACACATTTATATTTGTGTTAAAATTACCCTTACACGTTTTAAGTTTTTAATAGAAATAAGCTACTATTTCCTATAAACTGTGATAACTATTAAGTATTAAAGCGTTAAAATGTATTGATTTTTTTATGAGATTTGCTGAAAAATATACAGTAAGAGATTCAGCTAAGCGTTTGTTTTGTATTTTATTTGATCTGTTTTAGAATATGGTTAGATAATTTGGGTTTCTTATACTGCTGGTGGTTTTTGTTAGTTTGAAAGAATTTAATTTAAAATAAGATAAAAATCGTAGAGAAAATTGAGCTAGAATAGACTTTGAATTTAAATTTTATAAACAATATCAAAAAAAAAAAAAAAAAACTGTACACTGTACTATATGATATTATGTTATCTACAGGGCTCAAACTTATAGAATTTACATTTTTTTTTTGAGAGGTCCTACAAATACCCATGTGAGCTGTACATTTGTTTTCGATAATTAAGAAGGTAAATACGAAATTTCATGTTGCATATTTTTGCATATTTCAAAGTATAGGTAAGTGCTATTTTGATTTTTTAAGTCTTTTTCAGTTCCGTAGCATTTAAAACATTTTTTCTTGATAATAACAAGTAATTATAGTAGTATTAATTTTTATAATTGTTATTCATTCATGTTAATTAACTAATTCTTCTTCTTTTGGTTTAAATTATATATTTGTATCATATACCGACGCAATTGGAATTATAATAATAAGAGTATAACATTTTTTTTATGCATAATATATGATTTTTTAATAGTAAATGAAAATTGATTTTTTTATACATGATGTTTTTTTTAATAATAAATGAAAATTTTTTTTTTTTACATGATATATTTATTTTTCGATTATTTTTGTATTTTTAGTGCATATTTAAGCACTTATCAGTTTACGAATAATTATAAAAACATATTATAGCGCTTATACCTACTTTTTTAGAGCTATTAGTTATGAGCCCTGGTTATAAACATTTATTTTCATTTTACAGCTACATTATTGTTATGTTATTTGTCCTCTATTTTATCTATTTTGCATGTTGAATAGAGCTAGACTACTCTAGCTAGTTATATATCTGTGTAAACTATTTATAATTGTGTGCTCTATCTAAAGTTTGATAGTTTAACTAGAGTCTAGAGAAGAAACTGCTATAGTTCTCTAAGTGCTATGTATACTACTTAGACTGAGCGTATATAGCTATAGCTAAAGTAACCCTACAAAAAAAAATCTACCATGTACAGGTAATTTTAAAGTATTCATGTTTATTTGTGTCTTTTTATTTCCTCAAATTAGTACTTATAGATTATGTAAAAAATAAAGGTAATAAGTGGTTTAATTGACAACCTTGATTCCACCTTTAAATTCAATATTTTTAATATAAGATGTGTAACTATAATGTTTTTATTTTTCAAATAATATTTTATAACTATTATATGATTTATAAAATTATTCGTGTATTTTTATATGTTGAAAGAGCTCAGTCACTAAATATTATAAATAAAATAACTATATTGATGAATTATGGATTTTATTAAATAAAATGAAATAGTGAAGTTATTATGCTATAACAATACTTTTATGGTACATTATTATTATTCACGGGTAATGTAAATATGTAGAGTAGATTCTCATTATGTTGAACGTCGTTATCTCGAACCATATTGAATTCCCTTTGAAACTATAATTCACTAACGTTTTATTCTCGATAACTCCATATAAAATGAATCGTTTTTCGTTATTTCGATTACACAAATAGTATTTTTATTACGGTAAGAAAGGAAAATTGTGCAGTACATTCAGCATAATATTTGTAGTTCGTTCGTTTGCTTATAGTGAAATGTAAAAGAAGTGTAAATTAAATATTCTTTCGGACAAAGCTCGTTAAATACAGTTATTTGAAAGAGATGACCGTAAAAAATGTGAAATCGCCAATGATTTCAATATTCTACCAAATACATTATCGTCAATTATTAAATGGAAATATAAAATTTTGAAGTTTACCTATATGTGGAAATATGAAAAAATGAAGATCACTCTTTATTTAGTCATCGATAAATGTTTATTAAAATGGTATACTCGTTGCCGAGATAAAAACATACCATTAAATGGAACAATTTTACTTAAAAAAGCAAACCAATATGTTTAACAATTAGGACATACTAATTTCAAAACTAATAATGGTTGGCATACAAAATTAGAAAAAAAGACATAATATAGTTTTTCGAAAAATGTTATTAGAAACTATCGAAAATCCTAGCGAAAGTGAAGACGAACCACAAAATAAGGTTGAAATTTAATACATTTTTAAAGTTACAATTCAACAAATTAAATATGATTTGAAAACGTTAAGAGATTTGGTTGAGATATGGAATATTCTGTATTATCCGATTTGGAACACATCGTGGCAGACAGAAGTAATTTTAAACAAATTTTAATGACAGATTTTTTAGAAAAAAATTAATCAATTTCTTATTATAGTTCATTAATAATGTGTATGTAGTATTAGTATTTTAAGTATACAAATTAAGTATTTTAAGCATTCGTATTGTTTTTATTTTTTTTTTTACAATTTTTTAATAAAACTTAATATTTAAAAGTTTTTGATATCTCAAAATTTTTCCTGTTTCCCTTGAGATTCAATAAAACGAGAATCTACTGAATAATAATAATGCTCTTAATACTTTCCAATTAATAAAATATAAGTTTTAAAGTTTACATCATATTAAGTGCTCTTAAAGTTTGAATTTAAATAAAAAAATAATTAATACTTAAATAATTTCTTTTGGACTGTAAAATATATTTTATAATTATTATATTATAAATTATATATAATATATTATTTGTTTAAAAGTAAACATGTCTAACATGTTTAACATTTCTTATTGAAGATAATTATATTTGTAAACACGTGTTAAAAACTTGTCGTGCTATAGATTCAAAATAGATCAATATGAGGAAGTCGGCATGTTTAAAGGTTTAATTGTAAACAAACAGATTTAAAACTCACGATGGTCAAGGACATTTGAACGACTGAACGAAAATAGAGAGTGGTCTACTTTATTGATATTGATCGAATTTTCAGAATACAGTTATACACGAAACACGAATGTTAGTGTATATATATATACATATAAAATCATTAGCATATTCAGTGGCGTACATTCAATCTTGATCTAGAGTGTGGGGGGGGGGGGGGTTAAAAAAAATAATCGTTATCTTTTTTTTTTGTTGCACAGATAATAAGCTATTGGAATATTAAAACAGCATAGTTAACAAAACTTTTCAAACACCTATCAATATAATTATTTAATTATCATAATATTTGTATAGTTGTATATTGTAAGTTCAAAGCGTAATAATGAAACTACGAATATATTACACGTCATTAATAATAAAACAATTTTCTTTTTCTTTTTTTTTTTGGCCCTGGAGGGGTTTGAACCCCCCCCCCCCCCCGTATGTACGCCAATGAGCATATTACATTATGTAATATTGTAATTACTAAGTACCTACATACATTTATTTTATTTTACATTGATTGCTGTCTAATGGATAAATAAAAATATATAAACTTCAATAGTCTTTATGTTAATAGTTTAGCTTGACAAGCTAATTTCTACAAGATGATTGGCAAATTGAAAAATATTGTAAAATAATAATTAAACGTTTTTGATATTCAATGTATACGCATAAACAAGTAATTGTCGACATTTTCAAGAACAAAACGATGATATCAGTTGTATTCCACGTTTACCTTTATTAACTTAACATAGTAATTGTGCAATATAGGGTTATACTCATGATTTATGACAGTATTATTAAATTGTTAAAAGGTACAATACCGGATCTAGGAGGAAGGGGGATAATTGGGTATGCTCGCTCCGGGAACTGTTGGTATAAGTGTGCTCTAAGGTTTATGAAAAACAAAAAAAAGTCATGAATCCAATCTATACTTCCGCCAATATGCATGGGCACTGCGTTTTTATTAGGCCCGGGCGTCAAATTTCTTAGATACGTCACTGAAAAGGTATAATACTATTCAATATTATGATTAGTTATTATTAACAACACTTAAAACGTATAAATCTAGTGAAAACAAAAAAAACCAAATGCAATGAATACACCGATTAATATTATGACAGGTAAAAATATCGAAACGCAATATATATATATATATATATATGTATATACGAAATCACGACTATCTAACATAACTAACATTACCATAATGTTATAATATGTATGTGTAATATGTATGAATACAACCGGGCAGTACGTTTGCCGGGTGTTGTAATTCATGTAACTGCAGTGGTTATAACGCGTGTGCCGTGAGCGGTATGTTATCTCAATCTCATACCGCAGGCCTTTTTTTTACTCTGTGTGTAATTATAGAGTTGTGCGCGTGAGTATTAAAAAAATATCTTGTAAATGTTAGCTCTCCCTACATCTCATAGCCTAGATGGGTTTCTGCTGTTGTGTACGATCGCCGTTACGTAAATATGCGCGCAAAACGTCCCGACAACTCGAGATAAATGTGCGACATCAAAAGTGTGTCGGTTGTGTCGCCCGGCAAATGTGCCGTTAATTATAATCTTGCCCGAAAGATGATCATATTTTTGTATTTTTTTAATTCGAATGAACGGCAAACAAAAAATATTGCAAATAAATATATTCGTACATATAAAAGTGTATACTTATATGTAAAACAGTTATACTAATTAGACGTAAAAATTCAAAGTTGAAAAAAAGCGTACGTCTCAATCGGTAATTATCGAAATCTACATATTAAATGAAATATTTCCTAGGAAATCAAAAACTAAAAAAAAAAATGTGTACATCAAGGCCAAAACAGTTTTGACCTTTAAAAATGCAATTTTCAGAAAATCCTTTCTTATTGCACATATTAAAGAAAGCATTGCGTACATTTTCAAGTACATAAGTGTAGTCATTTTTGTGATGTGACAATCAATAAACGAGTGAGTAGTTTTTGAATTTTTTCTATATATTTATATTGTACCTAGTACGAGTGATATACATATTTTGGATTCAAGAAATAGACTAATTTTGTCATGCATTTTTTCAGACTTTTAGGCAGTTTATCAGTTTATCAGAAGTTTGTTTTTGTTACATTTTAAAAAG